CTCTCTCTCTCTCTCACATAAGAATTGAGTTTCAGACAACAATTGGATCATGATGGTAATTCTATGTACTTTATTCTTATACTTCCAGGTGCACCTCTTGCAGAAGAATCAAAGGCTTGTAGCTTGGCAAGAAAAAGATTATAATCAAATGTACCCTTTGTAACATCAAATTAAGGCCATTTTTAACCAATTAGTCATTTTGATTTCAGCAGGATTTGTCATTTAGGTTTCTAGATCATGATTATGTTTTCCGATCACTATTTCACAACCATCTAAATCTCATCCAAGCCATGCAACTCTCATATCATAATTTTGTATTTGTCATGGCAAAATAATCTCAGATCAAAATTCCTCCAACTTTAATTCATCTTTCAGCAGGCTTTATTCATACCTTGTAGCTCAATTCTGTTGTAGGTATCTTCATTCAAGACTATCAACAACTTTGACAAAACTCTTCTTGCTTGCATGAGTAGAAGTTTCCAAAATGCATCAAATCAATCAATTCTCTTGGTAACTTATTTATGTTCTTTCCTGTTTCTGTTTTTTTCTTTGCTCTAGTTTGCTGTTCCTTGTATTTTACCTTTTCATTCTTTGTTTCTGTTCCCTTATTTGTTATGGCATAAAGTTTACCTGATAGAGTTTGCATAGTCACCATTGAACTACAGCAACATGATTCTTTTGCTACTATCTTGGAGTGTTACACAGATTTTGCTGGATGTTGGATCAAACAGCAACAACTCCAGTACTCATGCATAAAAACCAAGACGACTCCCAGGTTCTAGCTCTAGGAAATTGTGTGTATATGTATCAAGCTGGGAAGACGGAATTTAGCAAGAAAACACTTGATAAATGAATCCCAGTAAAAGCTTAACACTGCTTAATCAACCCACGGAGCCAGTGAAGAACTACACTTAGGAGGCTTCTTTGAAATTGGAAATATTGGCTAGTGGGCATGCATGTTAGTTTCTCTGCAACCAAGGTTTAAAGTAACACCTATTCCAGTTGGTATGGTCCAACAGCCAACTGAGATATGTATTGAGTGATTTCGTTCAGATCAATGCTGTATGAGCTGTACCACCCGATAAGCTCACTGTGTTGGACTTACCAGCATAAAAATAGTACAAATACCAAATGGTATGGGAAGGTAAGCCTATCAAATGGTACCAAGTGATATGGTACAGGCCCACTCATATTTGTCCAGTGTGGGTTATACCACCTCATAAGCTCACTGCTTCCTGGGCAGTAAATAGTCCAATACCGACCAGTACCACCTGGTAACCATATTATTTTCTTTTTTTAACAATGACAATGTCATAATTGTTTCCTCTCTCCTCTCTCTCTCTCTCTCTCTCTCATCCTCTTTTGTTCACTCCTCCACCTCCTGATCCTCCTTGGGATCCTCTACCTCCTCCTTGTTGCATCACTGTTGCCTCCTACTCCTCCCTACTGCATGATCACCACCTACTCCTCTCCATCATGTCTCTATCGCCGCCACCTCCTCCTGTTAGTATGCATCACCTCCTCTGCATTCTCCTCCTCCCCCTCCTCTTCATCTTTCTTCTCCTCCTCCGCCTCCTCTGGCCAGTCCCATACTCGTCAACAAGTATTGGTATGTCCCACAATACTAGTACCATACCTATCTGTCCAAGAACCGGTATTAGTAATGGACTGGTATTTAGAACCATTTGTGCAACAAACAACACACCATGAAACATAGTAAAGTAATCTTTCAGATCATATAAAGCATTAATTGTTCTCCAAAAGTATATTGATAAATTTAATGATTAAGGATTACGAAATAACCTGTTTTGACTATCCTTCTCCACAAGGTTGACAAGCAAACCCAACAAAGCTACCAACAAATCCAATTCATAATCAAGGAGATGTCTGTTGTTCAGATGACAGTCATTGTTGTGTAGGTTGGTAGAAGAGGTATTCTCTTTCCCCTTGCCATTCGATTGGAAGAAACAGTCAAATGATGGAAAATGATTAACTATTAAAGAAACCATAGTGTGCAGTCCACCACAAGCAGCAGTTTGCTGACACCCTACAGGATTGTCATTTGTTAAGTTCATAAGAACCTGCAAATTAAACAAACAAAGAGCTCTAAACAATTGCACAAGGAAAAGATGTACATGAAGCCATATTAACTATAAATAGAGCAAAGACCAAAAAGAGATAATCTTTAAAAGATAAAATTGTGCCGAACTTAGACATCGAACTAACTCTTCTTTATAAACCCAAATGGAATTCAAATGGCCTCCATGTGCTAAATGTTGCATCAAAACAACCAGTGATGTTAGCAGTTCAAATTAAATAGATAAAATAGACACCAATATGGTTCCCAAGAAAATTAGCCTAGACAAATGATGAGATAAGTTATATTGTGAATGAAGTGAACTTTTTTGTATCGCAGCATAGTGATGCTGGAAATAACCATCTAAAAAGGCTAGGAAGAAATAAATTCAAAAAAAGAAACATATGATAGCATGAAAAGATAGATTACATGAGTAAGACAACATTTGTGTCAACTTGTTTAAAAATGAAAATAATTAAGCAGACAAACCTTGGCAACTCTGCTTAATACTAGTTAAGATAGCTTGACTAGGAAGTCTTGTTCCTCTTGAAGGATTGAATATTCAGATAACAATACAATGGGTTTGCTGAATGTTTCCAGGGTCATAAGAAAGAAATATTAAGTACCGTGCATCATTTGCCAAATGTGCATGCATGTTTGCTTACGTACAGAAGCAGCATCAAGAGAATCAGAAATATTGAATTACCTTGACTGACGTAAGTAGGCAGTCTCCCACAAGGCTTGAATCTTCATCAATTCCTGATGAATGAGACACTGCACAATCATCATGGTTTTTTGCATTTGTTAGTTGACTCAACACATCATCTGTGGTACATATCGGGAGGTCACATCCATTTGAAACGTCTTTACTTGCTAAAGCACCTTCATGTGCAGTTATTTCTTTCTTTTTTGCCAACAATTCCCACTTCGAAGGTCCTAATTCACCATCATTGAATGCAAAAGGATCATGCATGTCCAATTTACAATTACCTTTAACATATTTCGGTAAATGAGGTCTTTCAGACATGCTGCCAGCTGCACCATTAGTTTTTATAGAGATCCATCGATTTGAAACCCTATGAGAATTCATTTTTGAACCACTACCATTTATTTTTGTTTTTAAATTGTTACCATTTGCAGAGCTGTCTCCAGTTGATCTATCAATTACATCACATGAAACTGAGGCAGAAAAATGAGTTTCCATTTCTGAACCAGAAAGAGACACTTCTGACTGAGAATAAGATGACTTCTGACGTTTATGACATATCTTAATGACCTTCACTTCAGAATCCCTGTCAACATCAGAACACCCAACACAATGACTATCTGAGGTCTCGTTGTTGTTATCTGCCAAATAGGAAAAGATTATATATACTGACAATGGTGAGCAATAATAATGTACGAGACAAATTATAGCAGGGAAAAAAACATAATAAGGTATCTAAAAGATAACTTGTTATTCACTGATGAATAGCAACCAGTATCCCAGGACAATAATCACAGTAGTGACAATGATTTGCATCCTCTGTAAATATAACTATATAATAACTTCTAGGGACCTCACTGCCTATGGAGCTTGAGAACAAGATAAATCCTAATGCACTTCAAATTAATCCCACTAGAAACATCCATAATAATTTTAAAATAAAATATTAGAAATCTTATCCAAGAACTGCTTTTCCAAATTTTGGTGATACAGCATCTTAAATAGAAGCAAGTTCTTTAGAAGAAAATTCAAGACAAATAAAATGTAACAGCATTTTTTTCACGTACGGAAGACCAAGAACATCCTACACTACTAAAGTTAACATGAATTACCTTCCAGATATTTCCAGGAGACAAATACATAAGAAATGATGATCAAATTCAGATGTGAGCCAAATCAAAATCCGAGGAAATGGAAGAAAAATGAATGTAAGAATCTAATTGATACATGATAACTTATGCTCATCTTTCATAAGAAAAAAGCTGGTGTATTAAATTATAACATACATCACAGAAGGTTCCATTAAATAGCTCTAGAGATTTACCTTTCAGTTTTTGTTTCACCTGAAGACTCTGAACTTCAGAAATTAACTTTTCATTGTTTGAAACATTGATATTACTCTGGAGCAAAGAAAAATCTGCAGTGCAATACAAATTACAGTCATAGCAACATCAGTAAGTACCAGTATAATGATATTTTCCTCAAGTGAGATGCACAAAAACATATTGCAGACTGAGGATGAATGATTGATCAGATAGTACATGCCAGAGACCTGAAAAGAATTTGATGGCATTGATGATGACCCCAACAAAAGACAATTGTAGGCCACCAGAGTTCAACTTACGTTTCATCCCAAGTAAGTGATTCTGTTGAAAATAAATCAAAATTTATACAGCTACAACATACTAAATTCTATAGGCTGTATATAAATTTGGCTACTTAAAATATGGTACAGTACCTGATTATCCTTGCTTAGAAATGTTGCATTCTCCATAACTTTCAAACACTTTAAAAGAAGTAGCATACTTTGCAACACTGATTCATCGTTTAAGTGAAAGAATGAAGATGAGCTATGCCATGCCTACAACATCATGTCAAAATCACGGAATTCCTAAGAAAACTAAAATAGTAGGATAAAAAATTCCAGCAGGATTTTTTTAAAGAAAAGAAATCTTGGCATAAAGTTAATTCAAAGAACACATGTCAATACTAATATTGACATTTTAAGGTTAATGTGGCAATTTAGGTCATCTAGGCATGTAGGAACTGCAGTGGCAATAAGACAGATGATAGCATAAAAAGAGACGGAAACGTATTTAATTCATCCTTAATGTCGCCAGTAACTACCACACAAGAAAATCACAATGGCCCATGTCTAAAACTCAAAAAGTCTTGAAACAACAAAGGATAGAGCTGGAAATTAAACAATAATGAAACAACAGAATAATGATGGAACATTTTATATCCAACCAGATTTGGACACTGAATAGGAAAATTACTAATGTATATCACAATAAGCAAAATTATACCTAGCAATAATATCTTCACTTGGTTAGGCATTTTACTTGAACAAATTATTAACTTATACCAATACCAAAAGGAAGTTGTTTAGAGGCACAAAAGAGTTGATGTTTGTAAGTGAGCCAATATCATCGATCATCATGCTCACATTTCCCCATCAATATGATGCCAGCTACAATACCTCTATTAAAAAAAAATTAAAACAAATGATAGAGAACCATTAAATACGAACACTTATTAAAATGACATTTCCTCCTTGAGTCCAACAAATATTTATTATAAAAAAATTAGTGAAGTAACTCAAACTATATTTCACCTCCAAGGTGGAGTGGCAGCTAGCAAGAACATCAAAGATTGCATCAAGTCCACCAAGCTCTCTCAACTTTTCTTTGAAGTCCCCCCCAGGCATTTTCACCATATCAGATGCATCTAAAATATTTGATGTCAGCAGCAAACTAAGCAATAGTATGTAGAAAATGAAAAACAATCATAAAACAATATCTAAAACAATAACCAGATAGACCACTCAGATAAAATTGGTGAGCAGATGTGCAAATGTTGAGCCCAACGTATTACATGAATATGAAAAAGTAAATTGCATTTAGCTACAAGAGATTAATTTACCGTACACCAGGGTTTCCTAATAGAAATCTGAGATTTTTCTTTTTCGAGGGGAGCACACTTGGCACTATAATATAGCTAGGCTCCTGGATGCTTATAACCAAGGATTACAATTTCGAATAATACCGCCCGTACCAGTCCGTCAGCAGACCGGTACACGGACCGCCCGTTACCGAGCGATATTATATATATAATATATATATTATAATATATATATATATATATATATATATATATATTATATAAATATGCGACGTCGCCTCTTTCTCCCCAA